CCGCCTTGGGTCTAGCTTTGGGTCTAGTGTGCTATTGTGTAAACTCCTGAAGTTCCTGAGCAAAAAATCCTAACATAGTCCTAACACAGTTAATATTTATGACCACAGTTTATACTTTTCACCTTCTCTCCCCTTTATAGGTGGCCTTCTTATCTCCTCAGCGCACTTTGGAGCATATGTGTGTGGTACTGATATAGATTACAACACAATCCATGGATTAGGTATGTTACCTCTTCTTGAAACACTGAAATCTTACTGTCTGGAATTTAAGAATACTGATGAGAGCAGATGATACTTAGTGGATTTTAAAGCAACATTAATCTTCACAGGATTTATTTGGTCATGCTTATTTTTATTGACCAATTTACATGTATTGTAGCTAAGCTACTTTCTTAATTTTTAAGCAGGAAATATTTAATAAAAGGAATACTGAACATCAAAACAGAAGTTCTGAATAGTAATGACAACAGCTGTGCACTTTCTTTATTCTGTGATGTAGGAAGCTTTTCTTTTAACGTAACCCAGGAAGTCTAATCCCATTCTTACTTCTCTGAAAACTGCAGTGCGAATTATATCTGATTTATTGGAGAGGATTATGACAGACTGATAGCAATAGTCTGAAGTGAACATCTTAGAAAGGAACATTTTTATAAATGCATTCTGTGACACCCTATACAGACAGTGCCAGCAGAACTGTTTCTCATGTATTTTCATTATTCCTTGTTAGTTGTGAAATTTATCACAAATACCTCTGTTGGTGAGTACAATAAAGCAGGGGATAAATCCTTGCTTTGTGTGTGTCATTTAATTCTTTAACATAAATGGTAGAGTATATGAAAGCTTTTCCTACAAAATAATTTGTTGAGTCTGTTTTTTTTCTGTTCCATGCCTTACCCCCACCAGGCAAGGCGAGCAGAAAGAACCAGAAATGGAGAGGGCCAGATGAAAATATCAGAGCTAATCTCCGACAGTATGGTTTAGAGAAATACTACCTTGACGCACTGGTTTCTGATTCTTCAAGACCAATATGGCGAAAAGGGATGCTGTTTGATGCAATCATTACGGATCGTAAGTTTGTTAATACTTTTTGTTGCCTAATAATGATGACTAGGAGATTATTGCCTATGTCTATGCCTATGTACCATGATTTAATGTCTTGATGAGTGCTCAGACCTACAGTTTCCATATTACAAAAGATGACTGTTGTGGGCAGCACTGTGGAAATTGGAGATGCATTTGACATGACTGCATTTATTGTAAGGACATTTATAAATGTGTAACAAAGCTGGAGATAATACGTTCTTCCATGGAGAGAATATTACCATTGCCAGTAGAAGTCAATATGGCTGAAAACCATCCTTCAAAGAAGTCTCATTCAGTAAAGGCGTAACTTTATTGATGCACGGAGACTTCTTATCATAATGGTCCATGCTGCTGTTAGGACTTGATCTGCAACACACTGGAGTCTGCCATGCAACTCTGATGGACTTCTGGAGGCTTACATTAAGTGCTTATTGGAATGCTTCCAAGAGAAATTTTAATGCATTTCTGATACACTTAACTACTAGAAGCACTAGCGGCTTGAAAGGATTCTCCACTCTTTTAGAAACCTATGTACTTAACACCATTTGTCATGCCTGAGAGGGAGTAGAGGCTAAGGGAAGAAATAAAAGACCTTGATACAGCAATTTCTGATCTCTACTCCTGGCTCCTACCATGATACATTTATATTAATTAGGAATAGGGAGTATGACTTCTCTTTGTGTGTTGCCTGCTAATTTTTATTTGGCCTGTTTGGCCATAAGATAATGTAGACTATTAATATGACTTAGAACCAAGTTTGCAAATTGTGTCACAACTTGTTCGTTGAACATGAAATAAGTATGTTATGCTATTAGAAATGTGCAAAAATGTATGAGAAGCAGCCATCTCTGGCTCTTCTTATCTGTCTGTGTGAGAAATACTATTTGTGTAATGTGTTGGCAAGAAAATCCAATATATACAATTTCATTTTGAAAAAGATGAGCTAAGTGCTATAGGGGAGATGTTTGTGTCTGTCAAACAAAAGAGGATGGGATTATTTGTCACCTATTGGAAATGTAAGGAATATCTTTTCATGAACAAAACAGAAAAGCATTGTCTTTTGTAGTGTAGCAAATGTTTAGGCTGCTAGAAGCCCTTTACAGCTGAAGGGCTTTCTTTGAAACAGTTTTAAAGTAACCTTTTGGAGCAAGAAGCTTTTAATAAATCTTGAAGAAATTACCCTTACCAACTTTACTTTGTAAAAGCTTTTCTTTTTTTAACTTTGTGTAAGCCACAGTTTGTGCACTGTTGTGTATGTATAATATAATTGTATGTTATTTGGACAAAGGGTAAGGTTCTCATCTCTGCATTATGCATTTGCTTTGTATAGCACCATACGGTATCAGAGAAGCTACTCGCAGAATGGGTTCGCAAAAGGAAACGGTTAAGTCAGCTGAAAGAAGGTAGGTAAGCTGCCGTGTTTGTTGTAGAATAGAAATGTCTTAATGGAAACCGAGTCACAATTTTAGGATCTTTATTCCTTCTTTTTGGCTGTCAGCAGTTTAAAAAAATTGGTAGTGATAACAACTAAAGAAGAAAAGCCCTTTTTGTTCTGTTTACAAAACTAGTGTGTCACTTCCTGAAATCCTGATATTGGTTTTGTTCTCCCTGATTATCATTTGCATGTGGTCAGATTTCAAATACTGTTTCTCGACTCTGTGAGCCACCATTACCTTGTGTTTCCTGTTCTCAGAAAGTTCTCTTCAGTTGCTGCAATCTGCAAAATCAGTCTAGTATGTAATACGTCTATTTTATTTTAACCTTCTCTCATGGATTTCCACTGCTTCTCTCTCTTCAGAGATAACAGGTGGCTTCTGCACTGCCTGGCCTTCCTTGTCTTCTGCCTTTTACTCTAAATTGCCCTTAAGGAAAGATGTTGTGCAAAATAACTATTCCCAGCATGCTTGTGATTCTTTGACTTCCACAAGTACTACAGATGATAGTCTAAAGAGCCAACAGGGGAATTTGGGAAGTCATATTCCTCACAGTAGAAGGATTGTCCTAGGTAGTTTTGCAAATCTCAGATAGTGCTATTTTGTTGTGCTGTTTTTTTTTTTAATTAAAAATGCAGGTGTTTCCCGTGCTTTTATATTTACATTTGTAAATTTTTTTGTTTAGCACAGAAAATCACATCTTCGTTTCATCAAATTATCATCTAAGTGACATCTTTTTTGACCTATTGAAGTTTGCAGCAGAGTATCTGGTGATGGGAGGAAGATTAGTTTACTGGCTGCCGATATACAGGCCTGAGTATGTATTATTGATTTCTGGTATGTAGTATGTCAGAACAGATGCTTCATTCTCACTGTGTTTTCTTTTGTGGCATAGTACAGCTGGAACTTCCATACTACTAGCACTTAAGAGTGATGTTCAGACTTCATATTTTAAAGTCTCATATGAGGGAAAGCAGATTTTGAAATAAGGTTTTTGGGTGAAGATAAGTCCTGTCTATTACCAAAAAAAGAAAAAAGCCTTCACATGTCCTTGCAAATGCATGGCCAATAGGTTGAGGTTTAAGCTTAGAAAATCAAACTTTCAAGGTATAGATAGGTTTCTAAGATAGTAGTACCAAGGCTCTTATTAATATGTGTTTCTACCAGAGTAGTTTATAGAGGCGTATGACAAGGTCCTGTTAAGAGAACATTCTTGGCTCTTTGGGTTTTGGCACTACCAATTTAGCTTTCTTCTGAGAAATCAAAAGTCAAGTGACGAAGAGATGGCAGTGAGAGGCAGGAAGTGTAGGGGAGCAGCCCTGTTAAGGATGAGAGAGGCCAGCAGAGACTGAGATGCTGTCTGCTCAGTAGTGCAGCCTGGGATTAGAACTGGATTTAAATGCAAAGACATCTGTTTGCATACCTTCAGCATCTCTTAGATAAGGTTTTGATGGGAGGTTTTTTCTGGTTGGTTTTGGTGTTGGGTTTTTTTTTTCCAAAACTCTTACATAGTAAAGTGGGGAGTTGATGTACAGTAGCTGTTTCAAAGTATCTTCGAGATGTAGATGTGCTCTGAAAGTAGCTTCTACAATGTTGTATGTTTCTGTGTACAGTCAAACTATACTAATACATGAAGTGTATTTTGTCCGTGGTTTCACCATGGAAATGGCTTATTACAGTCCTACATTTAATTATCACACGGAATGTGATTTTTAGAAAATTTGGAAATCAAGAGGAGCCATTTCTGTAACATACTTCTGTAACAGAATTGTGCACTTAGTAGCTTGCATTTTTATTTTAATGATAGAATTGGTATCTTAAGCTTTTTTCTTGTAAGACTATTCACAAACAAAGCAATGAATGCCATTAACAGTGTTATAGCTAATTGTTAAAAATGTCTGTCTATGCATGCTTAACCCTGACAGACCATGTGTGGTTGTGAATTCTTAGATTTCCACATCAATAAACTCTGTTTGGAATTACTGAGTTTATTCTGTTTGTAAAGATACCAGAGATTTTTGTCTGCTTGTGGAACATTGGTGAGAGCATGCTTTGTCAGTACAGCAGTATAAAGTGTTTAACTTTAGGTAACTATGAACTGCATGTTCTGGTTCTACTTTAGTTGCTGTTTTGGGGAGGTCAGCTCTGTCAAGCTCTAGTTGGGTTGCCTGTTAAAAAGTAAATTTGTACATGCTACTGTGAATTGACTATGCAATGAAGATTGAAATACTTAAGTCACTATATTAGCACAGCATGTTAGTATAGTCACTTTATTTTCAGCTGTAGTGGTGAATACAGGAACAAGCATTACAGCAACTATGTGGGGGGAAGATAAGATACTGTCTACTAATATACTGTGCTATCAGATAGCCCTTGGCAACACCTGCCGTCAGGTTCATGTGTTGAGACCTTGTGTATTACCTTAAATTAAAAACAAAACTAGATTAAAATGGATGTCTGTTAAAACCACTGCTACTATATTTCTTACTTGATAATGTTCTGAGTTTTACCTGAAGGAATGTAGAAATATATGCATTAATGTTAACAGACAAGGCTTTTTAACAGAGTGATAATGATCTCTCCCTCTGCAAGATAGCATCTCACTCCAAAGTTTACTCTTTCAATCTGACATTGAAATCATTGTTGAGTCTGAATTCTTTTAATTCCTTTGCAGTCAGGCTTTTATATGGTTGTGAAGAGAAACTTTTAAGATATTGTGGCACAGTGCGTACCTTTGTAAGGGAGAGAGGCAGTTTGGTGGTACTAGATGCATCAGAAGTCTTGTGTAATAGAAAAAAACAGTTGAGAGTTAATCTGATTCTCCTTTGTCAAAAGCGTGTGCTTCATGCAGAAGTAGTGACTTGATTTCCTACATCAGAAGTGACTGAAGGGTTGTTTTGTGATCTGGATGTTTTGGAACAATGCAGAGAGGCAGTACTGTTTGGGTTTTTACCTATTTACAAGTCTGTATTTGGTATTGTCTTGTTGAACAGCTCACAATTATCTTTAAGAAGTGTCAAGATTTCCATCAGCACCTAGATGGATTCTGTTTTGAGTTGTGTTGCATTTGACTTCTCTTTCTCCCAGAACAATACATTTACTCTGTAAAGTCCATTCAGAAAAATACACTTCTTTACAGGAAAAATAGGAAGCTCCTCCTTTATATCTCTTAAGTTCACATGATAGGCGTGAAGGTTCTTTAGTTCCGCATTTTAATGTCTGACGTCTGCTCATCCTCAAGCACTGGGGAATCATGAAAGCAAGCGTTTTATATGAAATCATAGTCACTGACAATACCATAAACCATTTTCTGTATTATGTTGTAGTAACTATTACAGGAAAGCTTATTACAAAAACTAAGACTAAATGGCTGATACATATTTCAGTATATAGGAAGGATGTCTGATCGCATATTTATCTTATTAGCTAGGTCAATACTTCTTGCTCCTATAATCCCATACAAAGCTTTTAAATCAGAAAATTCATTTTTCAGCATTTGGAGGAATAAAAGGATTCAAAGCAATTTAGAGGAAGCTGTTTCTATAGAAAATAATATGCTTATGAGATGGGGGCATTTAAAACGCTGTAACCGCTTGCTTCTATAGACAGGATTTAATTGCAAGCCAGTGTTACTACCATCTGATGTTAAAAGATAATGGATTTTCTGTTTTTTTCCCAGGAAGGAAGAAGTTTAGAAAGAGCAATTACAATGTGATACATTTGTAACACCAAATTCTGTAGTCGAGGAATGTCACTGTCTAAACTTGTTTAGTACGATTTGGAATTGAAGTGTAGTGGTCTCCTTTTAGAGAGCCAGCATTAAGTCTCTTGTTCCTGAAACTTTATATATGTTGACTGTGGAATAAATTTTTAAAATCACAGCCCCTGATTGCCTAAGTTGTTACTGCTGGTTGGATGAGATGTTTTCTACTTAAAATTATACAGGCAGGCCTGTGTGCATGTATTAACATCATGTGAATACATGTAGGAAGCGGGGGGAGGGGGGGGTGCTGTCTCTTTACGATGAGGTTTTAATGTATTCTATACATTTTATGTCACGAGATGATTGGTATATATGATGTAAAAACTCTGGAGCACCAATACCTGAATTTATTTAACGAGATGAAAATGTATAGCAACTTTCTAGTGTAAACCATTTGATGAAGAATCTGTATGAATTTTGTTTCAGATGCAAGTCTCCCAGCTGATGAGCTTACAGCTCTGTGGGTGTTTATTTCTTCCAGATATACAGAAGAGATTATTCCCCGCCACCCGTGCCTGAAACTTATTAGCAACTGTGAGCAGATGCTTTCCAGCCACACATCAAGGCGCCTGATAACCATGGAAAAGGTGAAAGAATTCAAGGTAAGCTTGAGTTCTTTATTATATTGTGTAAAATGGTAGCTATTGCATTCATGAAAGCTTTGTGCTATTCAGCATTTGATCCTTATTTGTATCACACTTGAGTTTTTTATGATGAGAGTTAAAGCTTTTGTAAAATTGCCACATATTTCTTTAAAATAAATTGGGTGGTGATTTAAGGGACCATTCTGGTTTTGGTCTTTCCCTTTTTCTCCTCAGTTTTTGATAAACTTTTCATCCTGAGCAAGCTGCTTAATAGTGTGAAACAGATCATTGAACTTACAGTTACTTGTGAAAGTTGCATATGCTTTTCTTGGGAAACTGAACTCTGAATCCCATCCACAGAGGTGCCTAAGTTCCCATTGATTCCAGTGTTATTTGGTGCCCAAGTAAATACTAAATGCCTTTGTAGGTTGTGCAGTACAGGTAAACCATATTCAATTCTATTCCTTCATTTTTAGAGTGGTACTTTTTTATCTTTTGAAATAATGGTGTAGCTGTGACAACTACAGTGAAGCACATTGGCTTTTTTTGGTTGGGGACACAAAGTGCCTCTCCCGAGGCGCTGAGACCAGGGAACACTGCATTCAAGTCTCCTTTCTGTTCTTGCTGCTGCTTTCGCCTAATACTGTTAAGAGAGATGCTAAACAAAAGTGAAGCAAATTCTTCATGAAAAATACATGCAAATGGTAAGTACATTCCTTGTCAGTTGGAAGAGCTATTTTAAATGACAGGAGGAACAGTCAGACTGCTGTGTCTGCATGGTGCTTGCACTGATAACGCCGCAGGGTTTCAGTACTGCATTCATAATGCTAATGATGACTGAGCTTCTCAGGCAACACCTGAAATTTTTTAAAACACTGTATGTGGAGTTCAGAGCCAGAGCTGCCAACTTCACCAGCAGTGAACCAAGAGAGTATATTATGAAAGTGTATGTCTCGGGGTGTTCATGGAGGTTTTCTGCAGGAATTTTATTATTGCCAGTGCTGTAGAATAACATGTTCTAATGAAAAAAAGGTATCCATCCTTCTGTGAATAGATTTTCATCATTTGTTGTTTTGTGCATCACGTGTTCTTCAGTACATGCTTTGACAGGTTCATGTCTGGAAATGCTTAGTTCTGAGCACCTGAATCAAGTTGGCAGGCTTACTGCTTAGATAAAACTGTGCAGGTGCTTACACTTATGAGTCCAGATGTCTTTTAGATAATTTAAGGATACCAGAACCCCTGTACTGTTTCTGATGATGCAAAACTTGTCCAAATAACAAAATACGTATTGACTCCTTAGCTAATGCCTGCTTGGTTTAGAATCTTCTTGTTTGGTGTCTAACTATCTAAGAGTTCCCCACCCCAGTGTCCCTTACCTGGGACATGTTTTTTCCTGTGTTAATATCTTGAACAACCTTTGAATTGGACACTTCTGGCTCGCCAGATATGATCATAAAATTCAATAGTTGGAATTTTGGCCATTTTTCTTTTTCCCAAATGAAAGAGTCAATTTTTAGGAATATACAAGCATTTATATTTCCAGACAGTTCCTGTCAGCTTTAGTGAACTGGTTTGTAACAGGTACTCACAAATGCCTTTTAATTCAGCCTATTGTAGTACTCACAAGTGGCTAAGAAGTTTTACAAAGCATGTAGTGTCATTATGCAGTCCTTTGGTTTCCCCAGTGTTTGCTACCAATAATGAATTGCAGATTTCACAGCAAATATGATTTCATTATTAACACTCTAAACTCTTAACTAGGTTATATTCAATCGGTTACTGAATGTGAAATTGGTGGTGCAGTTTCATTGTGTTTTTAATATGAAGGAGACCAAAGTGAATGTAAAAAGTGAATATGTCTAGTTGAAGTATTGATCTACCATAATTAATCATAAGCATGAAGATCATAAATGTTGGATTAAAAACATCACAAAAGATGGTATATAACTCACTGTCTTGTAAGCATCCAGTCTGTTCTTTTTAAGTTTATGATGAAATCGTGCCAACTGGAAAAGATTTCTCACTGCACACAGTGTTGATGTGAATAGACTTTTCCAGCATGTGAACAATTTGAACAGGAGAGTTTTTTGTGTTTTAACATTTAAGGCTTTTTTTGGACAGCCATGGTGGTCAGTAGTAACTCCCCTTCTCTCCAGTCTTAAATTATAGTGTTGATAATAAAAGTGAATGAGGCAGTTGTTGTAGAGGGCAGCTAGCAGTAGTAAGCTAGTGACTTCTAGTCTTCTAAAACTCTGAAAGCAGAAGAATTAGAGAAGTGAAGAACAGGAGTGTGGAATGGGAGAGGAACAAAACAGAAGTGGTATGAGGTGAGAGCTTACTAGCCTGATATGTAACTTTTTCCTATGGACATTAGTGTCCCTTCTTCTGGTATTAAACAGATATGGATCTCCCTAGTATCTCTCTAAACCTGAAAAAAAACTTTCTAATTGGCAGGGCTGCGTGTGAGTCTATCCTCATTGAACTGTGAAGGGAGTTTTTTCTAAGCACTAAAAATACAAGTTCAGCTCTCCAAAGACTGTAGGCATTCATACGCAAGAACTGAAATACAGTGGTAGTGGAAGAATGAGAAGCTGTTGGCCAAGTAGATCCATGTTGTAATGTCTGTCAGCTGTGATCTAATAAGAGTCCAGGCTTTTGCTTTAGGTTAGAGAAGGTTTGAACCAATTCTTCCAGCCTAAATCAAGTGAAAATGTATCTTCCATTGTGCCATTTTATTTTTCAGAAGCATTAAAAAATACAGCTGTGTAAGACTGAAAGGTCTCAATCTATGCCACCTGTATCTGAATTGTCATAATTATTTTTTACTTAAATGTCAAATAACTGGTAAGTGGTTAATCAGCAGGAGAATTGGACTATAAAAACTTGCAGCATTATTACCACAAGGGTTCTTAGGAATCTATATCTGGTGATCAACCAACTATTTTCAGAAGGGGTGGACTTACTAACAGTGTTTAACTGTAGGGTTGTTTGGTGTTCCCATTCTTTACAACAGTATGTCTAGCGCTCTGTTTTCTGAGACTTGCTGATTTCCCTATGCTAAATTATTTCAGCTATTGCCAAATTACTTGTTTCATTCCTCTGCTGGCTGTCTTGCAGAAATATATGGTATCTATTTGGCTGGTAAATGCTACCTAGTTCTGAAGTTTCTGATCAGGAATTCTTAAAAAAATATTGGGAGATCTATAATTGACAAGGGCTAAGAGAGACACCTAGCAATTATGTAGCAAGATGAAACAGAAAACTTGACTGAAGGACAAACTCTGAGCATGACTGCCCATGAAAGGACTCTAGAGCATCAGGCATACAAATACACCATGCTGAATGGGTCCAGCATTTCCATGTCACATGGTCACCCCGGAGTCTTTACTGGTGTAGAATTTTTCCTACTGAATTTAGCAGTGTCTGTTCCTGGATATGACCCTGTTGTCTCTGATTTGGAAATTGCTTGGTGTTGTTTATAGCTGTGTAATGTTAGTACAGTGGTTTCTATAGCTACTGTCCAGCACCAGATGTAGTGGTAGGAAGCTGTGATAAGGCTAGGAAGACTTTTTTTAAACAAAGACTGAGAGTGGGTAGTTACCCTGAGGCTGAACTGAGGCATGCTAGACTCATAAAAACCTTTAGAATTTCACTTAGTATTTGCCAACATTTAAAGAAAAACAAATCTTTCTTGTTATCTTTAAGCTTCCTGCTCTTTCTTCCACCTCTTTCATTATTTATTGGAGATCTATAACACCTTTTTTAGTGTTGTCTTTAGAACAAGTAAGTGTCGAGTTGAAAACTCAAATTAGCTAAAAGCAGTTTGGTAGCATGCACTTTGACAAGAGCTTTGTTGGTTTTCAATTGTCACAGAAGTCATCATAAAACATTTCAGAGCAAAAGCTATATGTGATAACTGTTGTTTGCAATTAGTCTACTATTTTGAGAATTTAAATTATTCAAAGTGAGAACCAAGGATGATGCTAATGAATGACCAGGGATTAATGAACATCTTCAGCTCTGATTTTTATAGTCTTTTGTCTTCTTGGGTAGTCCTGGCAGACCGGGGAAAGAGCTGACTTAGTGCCAAGTAGGCTGATCGCTGCTGATCAGTCTTGGAAATGATTTCATGGGCAGTCTTGCTGTTTTGTGTTGAATAACCAGTTACAAACTGTATGCCTTGCAAACTATGTACAGTTGTTTCAAAGGCAACAAGTGAAAAAAGATTCTCACTCCTAGATGCAGCTGTGCATCACAAGCAGTACTCCTTATTCCTCTTCCTGTGTGTCATGTTAAGAGGAGAAAAGAGACTATCTCCCTTAAAACACTGGGGTTCAACTCTATTACCTAAATTTAAACTTAAAAAAAAAAAAGGTGGCAAGAGAAAGGAAAAAACAGCCATATTAACTGCACTGGACAGTTAATGCACTTGAGGGAGAGTTGACGCCGCCACTGACACCCTCCATACGAGATCTTCTCTTGCTGCAGAACACTCCTGCCAAATATTTAGAGTGCGTATTCTACCGGTTTCTGCTACTCAAGATAGAGCTTAACTGAGGGTGTTTGACTGGTTTTACTGAAATGAGTTGGTGCCTGATCTCAGGCAAATTCTAGTGAAAACCGTCACAACAAATTGTTTCATGAAGACAGTTTGTGACAAGTTCTCATCTATGTGGAGTTAAATGCAGCCCGTTCCTCGTGTTCAGATTGTACTCATTCAGCTGCCCGTGTAGATATAAAATATCCAAGGTTAGAATTTGTTCAGAAATCGTTGGTCTCTGAATCCAAGAATTTCTTTTACCTTGATCAATTCTGTGTTGCCCATAAAACTGTTTTGACTAGTGAATGTCAACAGTGAGTGGCATCTCCAGGTAGTTCAGGGTTTCTTATTTTCTTTTCCCTTTTTTAAGAAGCAATTCCCAATTTGTTCTTTTTCTTTAAAGCAATAACCATCTTTATTGGGCAGTCATGTCTGTACAGGGGAGAGGTAGAGAATGGAAGCTCTTAAGCTGGAATTATTGTCATGTGGGCCAGGAGCTTCCTTTTTAAGCTCTCCCAAGAAATCTGTGCCTGACTGCAGATCTCCTCTCATCTAGCAAGCAATGATTTGCATAGCTTTTGATGAGGCCTGGATTTACAAAATGGATTCTGCTGTGGAATGATGCACCAAGCCTCTTTCCATTTGATGCATGCAGATGCTCCTATTACAGCTGTGTTTAAGTTGCAGTTTGTTCTCTTGCATACCATATCCTCTCATTGCCCTAACCAGCTTGGGTGTAGAGGGGGTAGTTCCTTTCTTCCTTCCTCCCTTCACCCTGAATCAGCATTTTGTTACTTAAGGAATCAAGATGAGTGGTATACAGATGTGTGACCTCTTAGAAGTTGTAGGGATTATTTTTTATGTTAAAATACTATTGACCTATACATCATTATCTCCCAGGGTCAAATATCCCGTCCATTTCTCAAAACAAGCAAATTATGTAGAATTGTCATTAAAACACATCCCAAAGGTATAAAAATATATTGTGTGTTTAGGTCAAAGGAGGATTACTGATGTGCAGATTTGGAGGAATAAGTGCTCTTTTCCTCAGAGTGGTCCTGTATAAGAGACCTGGAAAAGTGATTAAAGTCTGGCTGTGAGAGGAGCATGTCTTAAATCCTCCTTGTTTCCTGTCTGCCAATAGGGATTTTTTTTTCTTTTCATGGACATGTTAAAAGCCTGTTGATTATCAACCTGAGAATGGTCTTAGAGACGGCAGTCTCACACAGGTGACCAAAAGACAGTAGATAGTACGGTGTCTGCAGTGGATTTATTGAGGTCATTTTCTCCTGCTATTTTCCAGCATTGCAGTATTTAAATAGAATAGAAATTTGTTGCTACTGGTGTACATGCTTTACATGTTAGATATCCACATTGCACTTAACATTTAGCAAGTTAATTTAAGCCAGTGGCATGCTGCTGGTATCTGCTAGGATAGCAGATGAGAAAACTTCATAGGAATATCTCATTGTGTCCGGGAGAGGGCACTTGTATATGCACACAAGCATCTTGCTGTCTTGAAAAACCTTTTGTTTCACTCCTTTTGAATGCGTATTAGGATATCCAAAGCAAGATGAAGTATTGATCTTGATAGGTGAAAGCCTAGACAGGTTACAAAACAGCTGAAGGGAGAGATTGTTCACTACAGTTGAGTTCATCCTTGCATTGTGATACTTTTGTAATGTATGAAAATATTGACTTAAATCTACTTCCATGTTCCTACTACTTATGCTAAAGCATTCAACAGTAACCTCATTTTCAAATATGAACAAATAACCCTGAACTGAATCTTAAGCAATGAACCAACCTGTATGTTGCTGCATTGCTGAAAAAAATTGAAGTAATGAGGATGTATTGATAAGAAACATTTAGTGGAACAGAGGTTTAGTTCTGTCATATGCTCTTTTTTATTTTCTCTTTGCACAGTTCAGTTGTCCTGTGTGAAGGCTGTTTATCTCAGTTCTGACCTGCTATTGAGCATAATAAACTGACATGAACCATAAGTATTAAATGTTTTTTAAAAGTTGCCACAGTTTTCTTTAGCGCTCAGATTAAAGTTCGATGTATTGTTTATCTTAGAGTATTGATAACATTAGTTGACAAGTATCTTAACTGTATAAAGCCATAGTACATGATGAACTAAACCTTTGTATATAAAATGGGCCAATTTTCTAAACGATGCTCCTGGCTGATGTCAAGTAGGTATTATGTGTAGGAATTTACTGTGTCAACTTTAACTTTCAGAACTGTGTGAATACTATACAGGAAAAAATCCTCTGATAGCATGTCAGTGTCTGTAGGAACTCATTTAGGTTATTTGTGTTCCTCTTCTGTTTGTATCTGCCTGCCACGAAACTCTGAGTGATTGAATTTTCCAGATGATATTTTTTCCAGAAAGTAATCTTTGTATTTTCCTTTATAAAAGTCTGTGTGGCATAGTACCTGTGCTCTCATTTATTCATGCAAGGATGGGATTCTGGTGATGTTAGCTGAGATATTTCCAGTGATGCAGCATTGTTAGAACTTCAAATGTTTGGTTCTGACAACTTGCATCATTTTTCTGTGCAGAGTAGAATAATGAAAATTTGAATGAGTACATAAAAAAAACCCCACCCAACAAAAAAAAACCAAAACCCTTGTCTGCTTACAGCTTGTATTTGATCAATGTCAAATGAGAATCCATTGCATATGGATTTTCATTTCTGTTAAATGTTAAGACTTTGCAGTAGGATGCACATGTTGTTAATCCTAATGGGAACCTTAGCGTTCTATTTTGGGAATTCTTTAATCAATCTAATGACGTAAATGTTTGCCATTGAATTGTAAAAAAAACCCCAAAACCAAACAAAACAAACAACTTTACTTTTGCTTGTAATTGTCTGAAAAAGTCTGGAGGAAAACGAATGGCAATACATGCTGGACATACTACTGTAAAACCTAATGCTTGCGTTTTGATACCATGCAGGATCAAGATCAGAATTCTTACTTGTTGGATGGTCAATATATGCCATACAGGGGACACAATTCATTCCGTGAGAAGTATTTCAGTGGTGTGACAAAGAGGATTGCCAAGGAAGAAAAAGACAATCAGAAGTAAAATATAATATAAACAGATTAAAAAAATGAGGAAAGAATGAAGATCGTGTTTCTTTGTAAGGACATCTGGATATGAACATTCATTTGGATGCTTCAGAAAAATAAATACTGCTTTTAATTTTAAAACAAGATGAAACCCACAACACAGGTTGAGCGCAGTTCTTTTTAATTAGCTTTGTTTATAGCTGATTTTATTGTACAAGTTTTTTTGAGTCTTGTTTAATTTATATTTGTACTTTCAAGTACTAATGATGATTGACTAAAACCATTATTATTGTTCTTTCACCATTAACATTCACAAAAAAGTAGTAATATTATTTGGCTTCTTAAACTGTGAACATCTGGCTGTTTTAGAAACACGTGGTGGTGATCAAGGATTGCTTATTAAGAAGATAATTTTAATTTGTTTTGTTTTTTTGTAAATGGTATACAATAAACCAGAAAAGATGGTTGTGAGGTTTGTTTTAATTGTTGCATGCAATAACTGCTCGTATGAATTCCAATGGCTGTGGCTGAGGCCAGCTGTGCTTAAAGCAAACAAAAAACATAAAGAAACAACTGCACGTGCGCACCACCCTCATCCCCGCGGGGCCCCCCCCCCCCAACCTGCGGGGCCCCCCCCCCCCCAATCCTATGTGACCTGACAAACTCTGGAGAGCCTGTTAAACCCTGTGAAGCCTGTCCACATCTGAAGCTCATCTGTACCTTGGATTTGCTTTTGCATTCCTAAACCTTGAATCTTGGTCAAGTCAACTGTCTGCAATTTTTGGTTCAGAAACTGATAGTTAAAGCAGTAACAACAGCATAAAATCAGTAATGGTTCCCTAATGGTATTAAGCCTAATCAAATCTTTGAAATTGAAGCTGTATTTGTTAAAGGGCAAACTTTGCTGAATCCACACCATGTCCATCATGAAAATACCTCATTTGAAAACCACTAGGCCCATTAATTCAGGATGTTAATGGCTCTTCTCATTTTGGTGGTCAGATATGGTCAAATACTCTTCAGCAGGGCGTTGGTGAACATATCTATTTGCTCCAGCCAGAGGAAGCCTTACTTCTCGGTTTGCTGTAAGTTACTTACTGTGGTCATGTCGCAATCTTTGTAGATTATAATTTTTAATTGCATCTTCAAAAAACCACTGAGGAAGGCACGAGTCATTATGTATATCTGATCAAGTTCATTCTTAGCTCTTCTATGTGTTGTGGTCCTCAGCTGCAGCAGGGAGAGCTCAAATACTCAATGACAACTTTGTCTGACCTTCTGGATCTAATCTGTGGTGTGTTAGGAAGTTCTGAAATAGTGATTTATTTTCTGTGTTTCCATTATAAATCAGTTTGTTTTGGGACTTTTAATGTCAGCTGTATAATAGTTGTTCTGGGCTAAACTTGGAGCAACATCAAAGCTCAGAATTTGAATTGATCACTTTCAAATATTACATCAAAAAATTACTGCTTCTGAAAACCTGTCTTCATATAACTTCTGACTTCAGTTTTAGCATTACAGTTTGGCATTCATCTTTTATTCCTTTACAAATTAAAATTACTTTCTTTTCTTCATAGGCATGGAATTTTTCTAGATGGATTTATTATGCATTTATAACTTAATTTTCATAAAAGTTACCCTACATAGATCTAAATGGTTATACAAGATGTAAGGTAGTGGCAAATCTGGCTCTGTCTATTCAAAGAGAATGATTTAGTTTATTTCTCCTTTGCCTGGTCCAACTTTTAGTCCATTCAGCAGCGGTGGTGCGGCCTCTGTTTAGCAGTTCATCCATAACAGCTCTATCATTACTGAAGAATACCATTTTGAACAGAAACTGTAAGTGTAGTTGGGGTACTGCATCAACACCCGCTAATCAAAAATAGTTTAGAATTGAAATCAGATGTTCAAGATCTGCTGATCCCTGGCGTTAAAGCTATCATTTGGAAATACTTGTGATCTCTAAATTTCTCCTCACTTAATGTGCATGCTCCAGCCTATTGTATGCACAGACCTGCAAAGTGGAGGCATTCATAGCTATAGACCATGACACAGTCCTTGTGCTCGCTCTAGTGAAGGACTGACAGGCGGGTGACTTATACTTTCGGCAGGATTTGGCTATTGGTGGCCGCGGTTTCTGGCACTTTCATTCGATCTGGTTCCATTCAGTCTCTTTCTGTGAGGTTCCAGTTTCCTGTCCCTGGCAGGGAGGGTCAGTTCACAAGCCCGCACTGAACTCATGCCGTTGTCATTCTCTCCTTTGGGGGGGGTTGTTCCATTTTCCAGTTTTGAAAAATAAACGTTATTTTTGGAGCGCTTTGTTGCGCTGCAGCAAATTGGATGGAGGGAGGAGCTCAAAACGGCTGCGAGGTCATATGGGCAGAGGCTGTCGCTTGCCGTGGGAAGCTATTAGTTGAGGTAATGAAGGGCAAGAGCCCCTCTTTTCACAGAATTCCTTCACTTGGTGGTGGTCCCAGCTGCCAGGCGTCCCACGTATCTATGGGAAGAGGAAGCAGAAAAGTAGCAGAAATAGATTTTCTCTGCGTTAATTGTGTGCCCAACCTGCTTTTCTCTCTCCAATACTTTTTTAAATTAGTGGCCAATTTGAACAAGTTTGACAGAAGGCCAAGGTTTGATGAGGTCTTACAGATAATTGGGAGCTACAAATTTTGTAGCTATTTGTACAAATAGGTAGAGGTGTTGAAGGAAAAGACCTAGTAAATCTCTTCCAGGGAAGAGGTTGTAATATGAGTTCAACTCACATTAAACATCAGAGAACCCACATCGAAACAAGACCTGGAGACAAAAACTGTAACCATTATTTTTGTTACTGCTTCTACAGCCAGTGCTGGTCCTGCTGTTTCTTGATCTTCTCTTTAAAACAAACAAAAAAAAAAACACAAAAGCATACAAAGAGGTTCTTTAGAAGGAACATAAAGGTTTTGGCTGAACTTTCTGCTTCTGCTCAAGCTCTGAGACCAACTCACAAAAACTTGGTCAAGCAGATGCGTCAGCTTGCTGAACATCCCAGTGCAGTCCTCCCTTTAAACCAGCCTAAGAAATTGGTGTCTGTTAGTGGGACAAGATCTAACTCTGAGTCTCCTCTAGCTGAGCAGGCTTTTTGTTTCCATAACACCCATGCTGGACTTTGCGCTGGTACCATGCACTGCAGCAACATCCACTCACTGGGTCTGTACCTAGTTGCACTTCAACAGCAACTCTTGAAAGTTTGGGTTTGGTGGTTCCTTTCTTCCTCTGTACCTGGGGCACGAAGACTGTGGTGGAAGTCCTTAATTGTTTGACATCCCTTCTCCTATTTCCATTAGAATAGGATTTTAGCTCAGAGTTGTGACTTATAAGAGGGTCATTGGTATCCATACACACAGTAGTTGGTAGAAGGCAGTGAAATTTTTGTGAGTTCTCAGTCAAGGCTCACCCATCCAAAATACTGAAAAATGCTGCTAAGAAGATATAGTATGAGCTTTCTCTTGGTCTGTTTTGATATCGTTATAGGATAAGGATTGTTATAGGATAAGGATCCCTATGATTATAGGATCGTTAGGTCAAGCAGAGACAAAATTGGAAAGGCAAAACCCCAGCTAGAGCTCAATCTGGCCACAGTCATTAAGGATAACAAAAAATGCTTCTACAAATATATTAACAACAAAAAGAGAGGCAAGGAGAATCTCCATCCCTTTCTGGATATGGCGGGGAACATTGTCACCAAGGATGAGGAGAAGGCTGAGGTACTGAATGTCTTTTTTGCTCAGTCTTTAATAGCCAGACCAGGTATCTGCAGGGTATTCAGCCCCCTGAGCTGGAAGACAGGGATGGAGAGAACAATAAACTCCTCATAATCCAGCAGGAAACAGTTAAGGACCTGCTGTGCCACCTGGACACCCACAAGTCTATGGGGCCGGATGGGATCCACCCAAGCGTGCTGAGAGAGCTGTCGGAGGAGCTTGCCAGGCCACAAAGAAAAAAAAAAAGCCACTCTCCATCATTTATCAGCAGTCCTGGTTAACAGGGGAGATCCCAGACGATTGGGGCCTTGCCAATGTGACGCCCATCTACAAGAAAGGCCGGAAGGAGGATCCCGGGAACTAAAGGCCTGTCAGCCTGACCTTGGTGCCAGGGAAGATTATGCAGAGGCTCATTTTGAGGGTGCTCACAGGGCACCTGCAGGACA